ACCCTCGTTCCCCGAGGAGGGGAACGGAAATGCTATTTACCATCGCCATAATGACTGTCCCTTAGCTGTTAGCAAAGTCTCTTCAGCTTAAAAAGGATGGCGTCTGCTCGCTCCAGGTGTGCTTATATGCTGGGTTAATTGACAATGAAGCACACCTGCGCAAGCTCACGCTGCCAATTCATTGGCATTCATTGGCCCGTTCCATACTCTTTCAGACAAGCGGCTTCTGAACCGAATCCTCCCAATTCGTGGATTTTCCTAAAATCAAATCCACTAATAGCATTTCCGTTCCCCGAGGGTTACTTTAGTAACCTGAGCGTGTCCCATACACTCTCATTTACACACATACACTACAGCCAAATTAGTTAGTTAATCAAACCGCTATAGCGCATGTGTTTACACTGTGGAGGACACCTGAGCACCTGGAGGAAAGCCATGCTATTGCGGGGAGAACATGCAAACTTCACACAGAAATGTCAACTGACCCAGCTGGGGCTCGAACCAGCGACCCTCTTGCTGTGAGGTCACAGCACTACTCACTGCGCCATCATGTGCACCAGCACCAGCGGCTGTGGATCGCTGGAGAACTATATGCATATCACATCACACACTTAAGATGTAGTCACACTAGAGTTTAAGCTTGCGGGATAAAACAACATGATTAGACAAAATAAAAAATGCAAGTGACTGGTCCATGTTTAAAATTTCTGTCCAGAAAGGTCATGTGTTTTTATCCTCGATTGGTCTCACGCAAGAAATGTGATTTTGCAGGTCAGAGTTCACTAAGCTTGAACTTTCCAACGCAGCGAATTGTAAAACTTGGCGCATGAGCTTGCGTTTCTGGTCTGACGCATTGGGGTGCGTATGAATGTAAGTCTATAAGGAGAAAAGTACAGAATGACCGCAGCTTCAAACTTCCAGATTCCCTTGCACTAATCTCCCTGGTCCCAGCTGAAGCTCATGAGGATACACACGCATACACAGACACAACTGCGATGGATGTTCTAATGATTAGGAGGAATGTATATACTAGTTTGTGTTTTCTTCTGGTTGTCGATTGTTTATTGTTGGTCTGAGAATGACGATGTGTTTCCTGGTCTTGGTTCCCTACTAAAATACAAAAAAAACAGCTTAAACCAGCGCAGGCTGGTTGGCTGGTTTTAGAGGGGTTTCGGCCATTTCCAGGCTGGTTTCCAGCCATCTCCAGCCTGGTCTTAGCTGGTCAGGCTGTGAAATGAACAGCTAAGACCAGCTTGATCAGCCTAGCCAGGTTGGGAGAGTAGCCAAAACCAGTCCAGCTATTTCCAGCTAAAACCAGGCTAAAACCAGGAAATGGCTGGAAACGAGCCTGGAAATAGCCAAAACCCCTTTAAAACCAGCCTGGTCAACCAGCTAAAACCCTCCAACCAGCCTAGGCTGGTTTAAGCTGGATTTTCTTTGTCTTAGTTTTGTTTTATTAATCTGTGTTTCATTAAATCTTCGTGAAATGCTGCGTTTGGATTCACACTTTGTTTCTATTTTCACCCTACCCGCCGAGGCTTTACACATTCAAAACTTTGTCACCTCCAGCTAAATTGATCAAAATTTTCTTGACATTACCTCATGCTTCAGTTTCTCATCAAATCTTCTGACCAATCATATGTTCTCTAGAATTTGCTATGTGCCTCCCCCTTCTTGCTGCATGCTGAAATTGATAATGTATTCACGTCAAAGAGTCAAACTGAGGGTTCGCCTCAACACTTGTAAATACTGTATAAGAAAATGACAATAGTCAAGGTGTGTTGATCTGAACGGCAGCACCTCTCTACAGCAAGTTTCAAGAGGAAAATACATTGCCTAAATGCATATACAGTCAGTATACAGGAACAAGGAGATACACAGTGTCCATTTTTATTTGGTGAATAGTACTACAGGAATACAGACAGTGTAAATACATTTCCTTTGAGGTAGATGAAGTCTGTATTCACAACACACAAATACAGTCTGCTTCAGCCCAAAGACGAAGCACAGACTGAATCATATGTTCTATATGCACCACAAAACATATTGAACTCATTTGAATTACACAGAAAACTGTATTTTAAAGCAGAGTAATGACCAGTCAGACTCACTGTTACTATTATATGGACTGTGATTCTCATGAGTCTGATGTGCTCGAGATCAATTGTTGTGGTATAGACTAAACCGATTGGCTGTTTTTGAAAAGAGGGAAGAGCTTACATGTTCTCCCCGTGTTCGCATGGGTTTTCTCTGGGTGCTCTGGTTTTCCCCCACAGTCCAAAGACATGCGCTATAGGGAAATTGGGTAAGTTGTCCATAGTGTATGTGTGTGAATGGAGGTGTATGGGTGTTTCCCAGTGATGGGTTGCAGCTGAAAGGGCATCCGCTGCATAAAACATACTGTATGCTGGATAAATTGGCGGTTCATTCCGCTGTGGCAACCCCAGATTAATAAAGGGACTAAGCCGAAAAGACAATGAATGAATGAATGAATAAATTTCAAAGCTCTTCAAGGGACCTTTCAAATCCACATGACATTGAAACTTACAGCATTTATTATACTAGCACAATTTTTTCTGCCTTAAGATGAACAAATAATCCATGCAAGTTAATCCACTGAAAAAAAAACTGTTGTTTTGGTAATGTTTACTTAAATCTGACCACTGTCCTCTGCTCTGGAATGGCAGTCCTTCTCTAATTACATCAGTTTGAATGCTTGGCTGAGATATATTTAGCCACGCCACTCCAATCCTTGGTTTGGTGCCAGTAAAAGATGAGAGGAGGAGCTAAAAAAATTAAGCTCCACCCCTAAATATAATGTTGTGAAAAAATAATTGTCCAAACAACCTCTGTTTCACATCGATGTTAACAATTAGTCAATGTCTAGAAACATTCTATTATTCTGCAATTTTGGAAAGTATTTTCGTAATAAGGACACTGTTTACAAGGGAAAATAACAATATTTACCATATTGTTACAATGTTTACAATATTTATTATATTATCCATATTTAGCTTTAAAAAAATTATATATATATATATATATATATATATATATATATATATATATATATATATATATACATACAGTATATATATATATATATATA